TCTGCCACCACTTGAAATGCCAGGTCTGTGCTCAGGGGGCTTTTCTTGCATCTCAGCTTCATCCTCTGAAGATGAGTCCACAATATCTCATCACCTGCATGTTCTCATTCTTCTTTCATAATGCTTTGGCACTACTTTCTTTACATTTTCATGCTCCAAAAATGTCTGCCGGGATACATGAGTACTTGCTTCTAGATCAGATGTGAGACTAGACAAATGTATTGTTACACTTATATTTCTCTATTTCTTTGGGTAAACTCCAAGATCCTTAATTTGGGAGAGAAAACATACTGGGGTAACATATGCAGCTTTCACAGACAACAGCTGCACAGGCTGCAGCTGACACTGTTCTTCCTTCCTCTTTTCAAATGATTTATGAGGAAGCTACAGAACTAGCACATGAGGGGAAGCCTGTGTAACCAAAGGCTCACTTTTGGTACTGGAATTTTTCAGAAGTTGTGTCTTTAAAAAAACAACAACACCATAGTACAACCAAAATTTTCTTAGAATGAAATTCCTGCAGAAAAAAAGTAAAAAAGAAAACATAATATACTCAAAACCTGTGCTGTGATTTAACTAAGGTTTCCATGTTAGAGAATTGGGAAAATGGGGACACACACACACAAACACACACTTCCCAAAGTGTGTGTTTTATTTCTGTGATCTTTCACTGACTCCTTAGTGCTCTCTACTGGAGCCTCTAGGGAATATTTCCTTCCTTTCCATTTCCTTCCACGGAAAAGCATTTTCCTCACATTTGATTTAGAATTTTAATACAAAACTGAACAAGCAGAATACAAGATACCCAACATTGCCCAGTGAAAATTAGATTTCAGAAATGAAATGAATAAATAGATAAAGGAGATTAGACAAAAACAAGAAAAGTGGTGAGGGAAGAAGGACTTAAATCAGCAGGAAAACTCCACACTCCCAGTACAATGGGGAAAATGACAAGTTGTAGCAAGAATAACTGACATCCATATCTAGGGTAGTAATCTTAGCTTAATGAAATCAGAATGACTAAAATAGAGAGCTCTCCCCAAATTCTCAAAAGGTCACAAAAGTAACCCAAAAGTAAGACTGATACCTCTCTTTAAAGAGGCTAGTCCTTTCCCTGAAAGAACAATCTAAAACGGTTGCCTACTATTGATCTTTTCACTGTTATAACTGCATTAGCTGTAATGGTAAAAAGATAACCAAGTCTCAACAGTAGAATAGAAGACCAGCTTTTGTTCAGTGTAGTGTATAAAATAATTGGATGGTCCTCCAGGATCATGGAGCTCAGAATGGTTCTACTGCCAATCCCATGAAATAAATGTTCTAAACAAGAAAATTCTTTAAGTACAGATTATTTGTTACATATCACTTGCTTGTAACTGTCACTCTCTTTCCTACAACACTTTTTGTATTTTGTTGAATTTCCAGTTATTGGAAATACCGTAGTTACTGAAGGAAATAATTGTTGTAACATGTTTAGCTATTGAAAGAAATCAGGATATGAAACAAACGTAAAGAAAACATTCATCCAAGTGCTGGCAGGTTCTGCTTCTGAGCATTTGTTCCACCAGCATCTTTATGTTCTGTTTACTCATCATTAAGTAGGATAAAACTATGTGATATATATCTATATATGATTGTATTAAATTACCAATGATCCTGAGGTGCCATTGTCTTTTGCATTATGCTGCCAATTCATGAGTTTTTAAATCATCATATGTACTTGCACACATTTGCATATGCACACTCACAAAAATCCCTGATGTGTAGGAGAAGCTAATGTACTCACTACTTGACAGAAGTTTTCACATACACACATTACAGTGGATTATTATTTATGTGTTTGTTAGATTTATATCCCAGTTTCTTGTACAATGCTCCCTCCTGTCCCCCCCCCCCACTCTCCCAGTTAGGAAGGCTAAGAGGGACAGAAAGCCCCCAGTGGGCTTTCATGGCTAAGGGGACACTCCCTGGTGCCAGCCCAACACCTGAATCATTATACTACACTGGTTCCCTTCTGCCATTTTATTTCACTAGTTTGCCTTATGGCATACCCACTTCTATCATTTTCAGGGCTTTGGGGAAGTAAGTTTTAATGGAAGATAGCAATTTTTTAAAGTTTTTGAAGATATTAATACTAATGGATTCTGTAGATGCTTTAATATAACCCTGCACCTAGAGTTGTTTGAGCATGCAAATCATTCTAATAAATAAATGCATTAAAAAACTATTAGGATTCCTGGATTTTATTCCTGTCTTCTCAGATATTATCTATTTCACCCAATTTTGTGTCCTCTGCAAATGTGAAAAGCATTCCCTCTACCTGTTAGAGTTAAGCTGACAGGCAGAGGTTCCCAGGGCAGAGAAACCATTTGTATAAACAATCAAGGTCATGAAGTACCCAGCCAAGAGTTTGATGAAAGGTGGCAGAATGAAACGGCAACAGGTGTGACTACCGTGAATATGGGGGAGAGGATTGCACCCTTCCTCTGGCAGAAGGCAATCAAGTTATGATCGACGTTAATATGCGAGGGAGGGAGGGAGGGAGGGAGGGAGGAAGGAAGGAAGGAAGGAAGGGGGAAGGATTTGGTCAGACCAGCAGCAAGTTTCTAGGATATAATCCATCTGGTCCTGAAGACAGAAACATAGATAAATCTTCTCTAACCAAGAGGTATTGAAGCATCAATCGTATTGCTACATCCCACTCTTCACAGTTACTTGGTGGAATACCTTGTTGGAGAAGACAGAGTCGAAATAGGAACTGAGCAGCTCTGCCGTTTCTTCATTATCTGCTAGCATTTTGTTGTCTTCACTGAGCAGATAATATATTAAAGTTGTATACAAATCCTTTCCTTTCCTTTGAACGCATGTATCCATTACTGGAGAGCCAGTTTGGGGTAGTGATTAAAGGCACTAAACTAGAAGCCAGGAGACTGGGAGTTTGAGTCCCGTCTCAGGCACGAAGCCAGCTGGGTGACTTTTTGCCAGCCAGTCTCTCTCTCTCATTCCTAGGAAGGAGGCAAGGGCAAGCTTCTTTCAAAAATACTGCTGAGAAAATGGCAGAGGCCTGCCCAAATAGTCACCAGGCAACAAAACTGACTTAAAGGCACAAAAAACAAATCACACACAAATACATACACACTTCTTTGCACGTCTCAGTTCATTCTGAGCTTTAGCTTTCCTGACATTTCTATAATGCTGGGTTATCTGTACATACTTTTCTTTGGATCTACTCCTTTTTCTATCTTCTCTATATGCACAGTACACAGTGATGCACAAAATGTTGCCTATTATCCAGACCAGAACAGTTATTTGAATCCTTCTATTAAAGTTCAATCCTAGGATTCTTGTCTAAGACCAATGTGTGAATGAATTATTGTGTAATTCACTATTCACTTTTGTCTGTCTGTTTCTCTGTTCTTCATTTTGAGATTTGTACGTGAATATGTTATGTGCAAGAACAGACTTGGTTTACATATTGTGCTAAGCTACAAATGTTTTGTTTGATTTTGGCTCAGCATGTTGTATGAGCTTAATCATTATGGTTTGGACTTAATCGAAATTGTGGTTTATTCAACCATGGGTAAAGTAGTAGCTTAGCACCAGTGGTGAATAAAGTCAGTGCAGGGCGATGTTATTGTAACCAGGAATTATTATGGAACACAGTAGGGTCGATCTCTCAGTAAACTCAATTCAACTATTTTATTACTATGAAAAAAGCACATCTATTCACGGTTCTCACTCAGATGTATCTTTTACTCTTACATAATGCATAAACTCCACTTAAATCCAAGAATTCTTAGACTTCCTTTTGCAGCATATACGTGCTTATCAAACTACTTTATATATAAAAATGCTTTCCCTGAAGTCTTTTTGTTATTATTTCTGTTAAGCTAAAAACAGTTCTCTGAGATATGTAGCACTTGGATTTTGCCATTAGTTGAATGACCGCTTTGATGCTTAAGGACCATAATAAAGTTATGATTATGGCACAATTGCATGACAGCTATTAAGGTACAACATGTTTCTGACTCGATTTACACATTTGTAAATCCAAACACACAAAACACACAATTGCATTTTCTTAAAGCTAAACAAAATGAAAAGGAAGCATTGTGTATTTTGAGTTCAGATCGGACCTCTACCTGCATGTAAATTCTTGAGCTATATGCCTTCTAGAAACAAACTATGCTATATTATATTACAACGTTATATTACAAGATGTTATATCTTGCAACATCTACCATAGGAGCCATTTTTGTCAATAGGCAAATTCTCCTACAGTGCTAGTTGTTCCTTGAAAACTCCCATGGCACTTTCTCCAAACTGCCAGTCTGCCCACTGACTAAAAAAATAAATAAATAAATCAGGAAGTGCGGCATTCTTTCTGGGAGAACAGCCATATATAATGAAAATTCAGAAGTGGCCTTGCAGCGTTCCAGTTTGCATTTGAATCCAAAATATATGGTCTTCTGATCTAACAAGAGATGGGACTCCAGGTGGTAGTTCAGTGTCCCATTCCATTCCATTCCATTCCATTAATCCTGTGGGAAGTTGCAGTTCCGCAGGGATGCGGAGAGCCACCGCACCACCGGAAGGTCTGGCTCCAGCTTCTAGAGCCTGGAGCCCTCGGCGCTGTCTCTCTTCCCCTCGGCAGAAGAGAAAGCAGGGGCCGGGTAGGGGCCAGCGGAGCCGGGTCGCATTGTGGCCCTGCGTCGTAATGGGCTGCAGGCGGAGGAGGGACCCCGTCTTCCCCATTGTGACGCGCGCTGAGTTTCACTGTGCTGCGCAAGGTGCTGCGTGAGCAGCGGGCAGGCCACTTCGGCCATGAGGCGGCAACAGCAGCGGCGTCGGCCGCGGCGCGGGTCGGGCCAGTGTCGCGGGGCGGAGGGTGGGTGGCGCGTCTCCCCGAGCGACCGAGGCGCGCCCAGCACCAACAAGGGCCGGAAGAAGCCGCCCGCTGTGTCCTGCTGCAGTCTGTCGGGCAGCGAGACCCAGCAAGAGATGGCGCGCCGGCGAATCAGCCCCGGCCGCTTCTCTCCGCCGCAGTGCTTCCCGGACGCCGCTTACAGCTCCGAGCCCGAAGCGGCGGGAGGCGAGGGCTGCCTGGGGCGCCAGCACCTGGCGCAAATATGCCGCGACGAAGGTGGAATGCTGTTGCCGCGCAAGGGCAAGTACAGGGGCGCTTCGCTTCCGCACACTAAGGCTCCGGTCGTCGCCAACGCCCCCTCGGCCCGCCTGCGCCGCCCCACTTGGCAGCCGCAGCACCCTCACCTCGCTCCGGCCGGCGAGGGCTGCGCTACTCCTTGCACCACCTCTTGTACCACTCTCTACGGCGGAGATTTCCAGACCCACCACGAGCTGCCCAGCCGCTCCCCGGCAGGCAGGTGCACCCGGGTGGAGGAGCTGCTCCGGGACGACCAATGGGCCAGTCCTGTGACTAGGCCTCTGGAATATGGAACCGACTTCCCCACCGACGCCAGCAAGCCACCGTCAGTTTGCCCTTCTTCCTTTTCCTTCACTCAGATCGACAACAAAGCTGCTCCCAAGCTTGAGAAGAAGGAGCCCAAAAGAAGGGATTGGCAGGAGCCCTGTGACAGCAGCCCCAGCCTTGTGGACCTGATGCATTCCTTGAGACAGTATGAGGAGGAAGACCCACCGGCTTATCTGCCTCCTAACCACAATGCCTATCATCGCCGTCACCACAATCACCACAAGTCCAAGAAGGGAGACAATCATATCAGCCTTCAGGATCTGACTGACAAGAGATACGAGGACATGATCCCAGAAAGGGACAAAAAGATTGCTGCTTTGATGTTAGCTAGGCATCAGGAGGAGGAAGAGATGAAGGACAGGCAGCTCCAGGTCTCTGAGGCTTGGGAGAAGATGAGGCGGAAGGAGAAGAAGCACAGAGCAAAGTTGGAGAAGGAAAAGCAGTACCAGCTGGCAGATAGTATGGACCAATGGCAGAGGGACCGGGATCAAAGAAAATCCAAGGTCAGGTTAGAGGAAGAGCAACTAATGGCTGCCAGGGAAAGGGATGTTTTGTTGCGTGACAAGAAGTGGAAAAAGCTAGCCAAAGAGCAGGAGTGTAGACGCAGAGAGAAATTTGAAAATGCCAGACTTCAAGCTGAGTATAGGAAACGTTGCCAGGAAAAGCAGCTCTGGGACAAACGGTTGATGGACCGAAATGTCAAAGATCAGAACTCTCATGCATATAAAGAAAAGATGCTGCAGGCCTTGGAGAAGAGGCTTATAAAGGAAATGGAAAGGAAGAAGAGAAAAGTGGATGTGAATGACTATAAGAAACTCAAGCACATGCATGTGAAAGACCCAGTCGATGACAAGCTCAAAGCTGATGAGTTGTACAAGAGGCTTTGCATTGAACAAAAGCTTCAGAGGTCTCAGGAAATCCTTGAGCAGCTGCTTGAAGAAAGGAATAGAGAACTAAAAGAAAAGTCATATAAGGAGGAAGATCAAGGCATAGTAGCCAAGGTTAAAGCAAAAGAGACAGAGGAAGAGAAGAGAAGGCGCAAGGAGATGTTGTTGCAAATAGCTGAGATGAAGATACAGCAGGCCAGGGAAATCATGTCCAAAAATATGCAAGACAGAGCACAACATATGAAAGAAATTAATGGCGCCAAGGAAAGGAACCACCATTGCCGCAAACAGAAGCTTGATTATGATGACAAATACCATCTACAGGAAATGCAGGAAGCTTTAAGAAGAAAAGATCAGAAAAGCAATCAAATTCTAAGGTACAAGGATGCAGCTTTTGAAGACTCTAGGAGAATAGCCAGAGCATCATATGGCCTTAGAGACAAAGTGAAAGAGCTGATAAGCCACAATTCATTTGATCAAATGGCTTTAGATGCCCACCGTAATGCAAATTGCCCTAGAGGCCTGTAGTGAAGTTTAAGGAAACAAACTGTCTTCTGCCAAAGAAGATGGTTGTAATGCATTCATTTTGTAGAACTCCGCATTGCTGTACACTAAAGTGATTTCAGCCTTAATTACTGTTTGACTCTCATAAGTACTGTGGTTTAAAGGAATTTACAATATACACTAAAAAGCTATTATGTGCATTTGTAATGTTATTGTGAACAGAAAATACTGACCTTTAGCCACATTCTACTATGAACAACTTGATGCAATACAGAATTTCACCATGACTTAATGCAACACATTTTAATTGGATATTTCTGTAACAGTGATTTTAAAATTATATTTTATAATGGGTAGTTGGAGTTAAACATTATATATTTTACCAAATGTGACTAATAACTTTAAAACATTTCAGTTCAAGGTATGCATTGGCCAGTCAAATATTAATACTAGGATTTTAATGAAAAACATTCCAATAATCCTTTTTCCAAATCAGTATTTTTATATGTCTAAGTAAGCCAAGGAATAGTTTGCAGTCCATATAGTAATCATAAATCCCATTTGTTCCTTTGATGTTTATGAGCTTTCATATGATTTAACAAATATTATGAATGTATTATTTTATGACATTAGAAATGTATTATTTTAGGACTGACATTGTATTGTCAATGCTAATTTTGTAAATTTTGATAATGTTAATTTTATAATTTCAGAAAATTTTTGATGGCAACTACCTAAACACTAACCATATATCATTTAAGATACTTCAAAATAAAGCTTGATCAGAATATGTTCATTTCTAAAAAATATGGAATTGTATTATTTGATGTTTATTTATATTCTGGGATTTAATCTGTTTTAAAAGGTAATAACCATTGGTTATATTTGGTAAATTGGTTGGAGAAAATAAGAGAGACATGAGTGCTCAAAACACCTGTGTCTCTGACAGAAAGTTTTTCAAAGCACATTGAACTCCAAAATGTGTATTTACCAGGAGTTAGCACAATAAATGGACCATACAACTTTTTTTTTTTTCCATTTCAGTTCTCTTATTGTAAACAAGTGCAGCGGTAAAGCTGAATTACAGATTGATAGGATTTGCTTTTACATACATTTCTTTAAACTTGTTTTGTTAGCTATATGTGCCAGTTAATATTTATACAATATTAGAGAAGGCCAAGATCTACATTGCGTAAATGACCTGCCTGTTTCATTCCTGGTATTCACATTTGATAAGGGAAATAACTTGTACCGTTTACATGTCTGGTAATCACACAAGTAACTCAAACGAGCTGGCAGCCTTAGATCCCCAGGCAGCAGTAGATGGTGTGTTACGTCCTACGTATTACTAATGATCATGGTCAATGATAGCAGTGATTGTGACCAGGGTTTCTAGCGTTCTCTGTTACCCACATGTATATACGTACACCCCATGTCAGTGATAGTAAAGTTCCCTATATGCTGATAGCACAAACTGCTGGGAGAGGGGGTTTAAATGTTTAAATGAGGATGACTTTATCTGTTTTATCTACCCTACTATTTAACTGTGTTCATACCATTTAAACTGCAGAAATTGTATGCCTGTAAAAGATGTGTATTCAGCCAGCTCGTTGAGCAGCTGTTTGGTGGAATGTCAGAGTCTGAAGAAGTGAAGCTGTACTGTTGGCTCTGGATTATTACTAGGTGTAATACAACAGATTAGTCCCTGTATACCTCAGTGGAAGTAAATCAGCTTGAATCATAGTACTTACTTGTTTCATTGGATTCTTTATATCCCAATAATCCAGAGATTTACTACAACTACTGCTTATCACAAATGCCCTTTTTTTTTGGCAATGTGCTTAAGGGGGTTATTGTCAGCCTTGACTCCACAGGCAGAACTGGAACCAATTAGGTAAGCTCACAAGAATCCAAGAACTTCGGATAAGTACCTTTTTAAAAAAAAAAAATTTAGAAAGTCATAGTGAAAGAATTCCAACATAGCAGTGTTTCAAGAGTAAGCTCGATTTATAGAATCAATATCCAACCCCTTTTGTAGCTCTCTCGCCCTACATAATGGGTTGGTTAGCCCTCTCCTTCAACAGAAGACACAGTTTCTATCTGTCCCTTGTTTTTGCAACAGATCTGCTCTCCTGTTTTTGTCTGTGTGAGAACTGTCATATCCATGCTGTATCCCCGCAGGTTTTCCTGGTGAACAAAGATGATCTCAACCCCATTTCAATCTAGTTTTTGGACAAAATCTGCCATGGTTGCACTGATATCAGAGGTAAAGTTATTGCACTGGCTGCACTGGTTTAAGTCTTCTTGTTGGCATGTAATGCCGTAAACAAATTGGAGTAGGCTACCTAACAAACTGGCATGATTGCTAGGGTTATAAGTAAAGCCTCTACTATTGTGCAGTCTGTGGATTGCCTTCTACTCACAACTCACAAGAGTGCCTTTTCAATGGTATAGCTTGCTCCCCAGAAGTCTTTCAGCTCTGACAACCTGAGTTAAAAATCTCTTTGCCCAAGCCTTGTACATGGATGGATTTTTTGAAAACTAATGATTAAAAAGCTTAAGTTTGAATTACTTGAATGTACAGTATATGATCATGTTTACATTTCCCATTGAGAGAGATGGCGGCATACAAATTTAATAAATAAATAAATAAATAAATGTCAATGCTTTACTTAACTTTCATGTACTTCAAGATGTCTTAAATTTCACAGTCTTTTGATATGGGAAGTGGGATAGAAATCTCATATAACTAAATAATCTATATAGCATAATCTGCTACGTTATCTATATAGCAAGAATTCTTAGGCCCATCTTTCTCCATGTTGGCTAGAAGTTTATAGAAGCTGAAAAGCAGAAGGTACCAGGTTGGGAATTTTCATTTTAGGCTGTCAGCCATGCAGTCTGACTCATCAACACATTTGGTTAAAATATGCTACTTTGATTTCAGCTGAAATTACTACATGCTTTTCTTGTCCTTGGGTTCTGTCCCAAGGTTACAATTGTGCAGAGCTGTGGAGGAATACTATAAGCAATTTACTGGGGTTCAGTAGGCCAGACTAGCATCACACATTCGGCCTCCAAGACTTGATTAGGATAATTTTGTTATGTACAAATACTAAGTAATAGAAATGAGTTCATGAGAAGTTCAGGAGTTTTAGTTTTTAAAAATACTTCTACTGTGTACTCATGAGTTTTTTTTTTTTTTAAGTGTATAATACAATTTTGGAACAGTGTTTACTGCTGATGCAGAATATCTTGCTTTGGGATTATCTTCTGCTTTTTTCAGATAGTGTTTGGATTATACCAAATTTTCAAAAAATCTTTGCCCTACAGGTTGTACTTAATATTTTCTGACTAATGCCCAAGTATATAAAAGGAAATTTGCTCTTTTATTTTCCTGTGAGAGCATCCTGGCATACTATGTTGACAATAGCTTTAAAGTTTAAAGAAAAAGGGAAGCGTACATTTTATTTAAACTCCACTTGACATCTTATTCTCACCTCTAGCTATTAATGGATTGGGATAGGCTATGGGGTTGAAGGCTGGAGAAAATATGTTTATATTAACAAGGAAGTAGATAATGGGAGTATGGTGAGTTTTTTTATACAAAACCTTTTTTTTATTAATGTGGATCCCATATTGTTGATGTTATAATACATTTGAAATAGATAGAAATTCCTACTGGGGCAGATATAGCCTTGTAAAATTTATTCTGACAAATGTGGCTACTATGGTCAGAAGGGCCACCTAATCTACAGAGTTCCATAACTTTACTCTCTTCAGCAAGGACAACAGAAACATTTGTCATAGGAACACAGTATATGTCCCTGAGTGACATGGGAGGTAGGTCCTCTACCCCATGCTTAGACATAGACTTAGGTCCTTTTGTGTTGCACAGCACAATGGGCAGAAAAATTTTCTCCAACCATTTCAATCAGCTATAATGGTTTCTGTTCCTCTCATGTGATTCCAATATTTTCCAAGTCTTCTGTAATGTTTTTCACATAGGTATTGAAAGATCTACCCCATACTAGTGGAATAAAATTCAGCTGTCCTTTTGCAGTGATACTGGATAGTTTGTGCTATTGGTTTAGGATTGTGGTTCATGTAAGGTTAAAGTCATTAACCTAACTTTAAAACCTATGGCTTGACTTGTGTTATCATGTAAAGTTAAAGTCATTAACCTAGCTTTAAAAACTATGGCTTGAACTGTGTTATCATGTAAGGTTAAAGTCATTAACCTAACTTTAAAACTATGGCTTGACCTGTGTTATCTTCCCGCCAAGGAATTAGTTTTTCATGCACGGGCATAATAAGTACACTCCCAATGTGATGTTATTTTAAAAAATGAAATGGAAACAGTTATCTCTCAGAAGTATTGGGGGTACTTTTTTAACTAAATGAGGAGAATCATTTACTTTAAAAAATCATTACAGAAACTGATGCAGTATGGATTAATGTTTTCTGTTTGGATGTTAGAATCTCACTGCTGATGCTTGGCTTACTGGAAATGAGGAACACTATTTTGTTGTACACCTAACACTTTCCAATAATTCATTTGGGGTGAACAGAGATGTATTTCTGTTAGAAGTTTGTATTCCTTATTGATATAGCATTCGTGTCAAGAAACAGAAGAGGGCACTAAAGAGTTACAAAATTATTTCCAATTCCAGAAGAGCTGTTGGTGACAGGTTTGGAAGTAGTGCAATTTATTCTGGTCCTACAATGTACACATATCAAACAAATAGCATACAGCATAACCCTGTGTCTGTTTATTCAGAAGTAAATATTATGTCTAAATGGGATTTACTACCTCATGGATGTGCCTAGGATAGCATTTCCTTGAAAAATGGCTCAATTCAAACATGTGAAACATTTGAAAATTTTACTGGCACTCCTTGAAGGATCATGTAAATGCTAAATCTCACCCTTTAAATCAATGGGACTTTATATATTTTTGTTACATTTTTTTTAAAAAAGAAATATATCCTGTCTTCCAGCCAGATAATACTCACTGAACTGTGGCAGGATCATGCTGTATTTTTTGAATGTTTAATAAAAAAAATAATCTATGTGCTGCTACAGCTTTGCATTATATTAATACAATGTCATTTCTTAATGGTTAACAAGGGCTACTTAAGAGTTTTTAGGCCTTCAGCAATCTCATAGAAGCAGAAAAATGTACAATGTTCAGTTTATGTGACGTTATATTTTAGAAGTCATGAGTTGATGCATATTCCTTAAATGCTTTATTTTATTGCTTGTGAAAAAATCAAACATGGCCTGAAATGAAGTTAGATGGAGTGAATTATGAGATATCTCAATAGCTACAGTAGTTCCTATTTTTACCATGGGTCATTCCCTGAGATGTCCTATTTTATTCCTAACACACACAGAGAGAAAGAGAGGACATGACCCTTCCCCCACTTTCATAGAAAATATGTGTATGAAATAACCCTCAACCCAAATAAAACATTTCTTAGTGGATAGTTGTGCTGTTCCCATTGTGAGTATCTGTCCTTTTGTGTGTGTATGTGTGGTAATTAACAACCATTTTCCAAATCATAGAATTGCCTGACACCAGTTTTTTGGGATAGATAAAAAAATATAGGATATAGAAAAATGGTCTATATCCCCTGTTGCCTGGCCATGACACACCGTTGACTGAATTCTTAATACTTTTTTTTAAATCATTCTTGGAGGCAGATCTGGAAAT